ACAGCTGGGATGTTGAGGTTGGAAACAGTCCAGCCTGGGTCCTGGGTGTAGCAGCAGAATCTGTCCAAAGGAAGGGAGACAGAGGTTTACAGTCTGGATTATGGGGAATCGGGCTCTATAAAGGTGAATGCCCAACATGTTCACTACCAGGTCCACACACTGTTCTCTCTGCAGAGCTCCAGAGGATCAGAGTTCAGGAACAGGCGGAACGCCTGTCATTCTCTGATCCTGATACTAACACACACATACACACCTTCACACACTTTCACTGAGAGGATGTTTCCAGTCATTACCGCTGGGAACGAACTCCCACTGAAGATATTACCAGTGGTCGATTATGATAACGGTGCTGATGACGTTGTTAATGATGAGGATTGGAGTGATAGTCTTGAGTATGTTTCCATATATCAGCAGTGTGTGTGATCTCCCACTGAAGACGATAACGATGACGACGATGATGATGATGATGATGTACAGCTGCAAAAATATTCAATATACAAATGATCCTTTCTATAAAAGAGTTTTCATTTAGTTGAACTTGGACTTCAGTGACTTTTAAATAGAACAATAATTTTAATGCAGTAATTTTAACTAGTAGAATCCATTATATAAAAAGTGATCACATTTTTGTTCAATATTTAATATATAAATAAGAAATTAAAATAACATGTAGAAATACATATTATGAATACATTCTGAAAATATAGCCATGGAATTGTGAAGTAATTCAATAAATCTTTCAAACTTATCTCATCTGTCTTCCAGTTTATTGCAGGTCATTTTAATTTTATTCCAATTTCAATATGTAATTTTTCTGCTTTCCCAATGAGCATTTTATTTTATAGTACCACTCTTCATTACAAAGTCTGTCAATCGAGACAAATGTGCTCATCTCCTTCATCTGTTCAGGTCTTCAGCTACACTGGGACACCTGTCCGTCACGTGAGTATTAATTAGCTGTGATGTTTGTTTATAGAGTCCATCTTCACCAGTGAGGAACGATGAACCTGCAGCTGATAAACTTTAACAACTTTAGGTTATAAATAATTCTTTCTTTGTCTTTTATGGCTTTGCATGTTTGAGCAATCTGTTGCCAGATCACTAACAACAGTAGCATGAATGGTATATTGAATTAAGAAAGAAATAGTTTATTCAAAAGATACTTTTATAGGGAGTGGAGGGCAGTAATGTGGTGGTTTGATGTTGCATGAAAATACATAAATGGTGGTCCTGCCTCAGCGGTCTCCCCCTAAATCACAGGAAGAGTGGTTCCATGTTGAAAATTAACGTATAAACTTGGTTTTAACGTCTTAAGATGCAAAACTATAACACAATACTTACATTGTACATATATGTATATATTCTCTTTTGCTTTACGAGTAGCATAAAGGGACTGAATCTGAATTTCATTATATAACCTTACGTTGTAAATGATTAAATAACCTTCAATCCTTAACTCATCCCAATAACACAAACAAGAAACTACACACTGGCTGGCTTGTGATAGACAGCAAACAATCCACAGAGAGAGAAAAACAGATATGTTTGCTGAAAAACAGGTTTTTAATAGAATCCCACAGACAAACTGTCAGTACTGATGGAAACTTAGTTTGATTTATAAATCACCCCATTCATACAAACAAACAGGTTGTGTTAAAAAGAAACAGTGGACATGATAATAAAAAGAGACATTCAGATGGAGGCAATGAAATATATTGCTGTGAATAATGTGTCTTAAGGCACTGCTGGCCTCCTGTGGATCACAGACCACGATCGGCATTCAGGCATAAAGTGTTGAATTTAAGTTAAATGTATTTAACCTTAAATAAAAACAGACATGAAATAATAAGTATGTAGGTTGTTAATGTAAAAAAGAACAAGGCCATTTTATTTTGAACTCAACTGGTAAAACAGCAACTGAACCGAAGAAAAATCAGCCAATTAATTAATCAAATGACATAAACTTAGCTGGCACAAATTATGATAATTCATTGGTTCTCAGTCATTTTTTACGATTACATCTTCTCAGTTATTTGCTTAGTCCCCCATGATAAAAACCAACAATGGTTATTATAAATGGAGATTTTACTTAAAAGAATGTATATTACAGCTGAAATCAACATGATTTAATTTTCCACAATATTATTCTCATGTGATTTCTTTTAAACCAAAACACACAGAATAGAATTTTCCTTGTTATTATTAACGTTACAGAAGTGGTAGATTCATGTGGAAATAGCATCCGTTGGTAAGACTACACCAACACAAACAGAGCTTAAAAACCAGTGCTGGTTATCTGTCATCCATTCATTGTTATATTATTGTTCACAGAGAAGCCAAACTCATTGAGAAGCCTAACTGTTCTTACAAAAACTGCAAATTCAACATTTTCAGTGCGAGGAATTATAGAAAAAATATATCTATATCTATGTTTCTCTGATATTTTGTTACGTATATAACATTTTCATAATCACCAAAAGTTTTTCAGATATATCAGGTAGGTACAGTTGCTTGTTACGACTGAAAAATAAAACACAGCACAGGAATAAGCAAATCTATAATATACAAACGCATAGAAAATGATATAAAGAAAGAAGCAGGAATTCACCTTCGACCAGTTTGTTATGTGGAAACAAAGTGTGACAGTGTAGTGTGGCAATATTATACTTTTTGACTTAATAGGAAATATTGTAACTATCCCCATCGTGCATTTGAAAACAGCGAGGCTGAGGCAACATGTGTCGTTTTGGTCATGTATGATGCTGACTGCAGTAAGTAGTGATCAAGGCTCTCTGAGTGATAAGGACCCAAAACCAGAACTTCTACAGTAAGGATCACTTCAGTTCGCATTTTTCTCTCATCCTTTTCTTGCTCTTCACTTCTCCTCTTCCTTTCTACGTTCCACTGCAGGACGTAAATAATAGGAGCCAGGCATCAGCTCAGCCGTTTGATTGTATAAGCCTAAACGTGTTAAGCAGTCATTTAAAGGTCCAGTGTGTAACATTTAGGAGGGTTTATTGGCAGAACTACAATATAATATCCATAGGTATGTTTTCATCAGTGTATAATCACCTGAATATGGGGATCGTTACCTTACAATGAACCATTTTTATCTACAAATATTTCTACAGTAGCCCAGAATGGACAATCAATCACTGGCTGAAAATAGGACCTTATCACGTTTTTACGCCCACCGTAGTTTAGGTTAAGTTAGGTTCACCGCTAGATGGCACTTAATCCTACACACTGATCCTTAAAAGTAATACGGGTACAGTTTTACCATACCATATCTGACACATTGCCAGTAAGAAACTGCTTTATAGAAATGCCAAATACGTGGAAGATATATGTTTGAGGTCATTTTGAAAGAATCTCAGCATTGCATCATTTGACCACCAGAGGGCATTGATGAGAATCAAACACAAAAAGTCACGGTGGAGTTTTCAGAACAACTTCCAGGTGGTAAGTATGTACATTTCAAGCTTTTTTACTTTAACGCGGATAACCCGAATGTACCCTCTTTCTGTCCTTCGCTACAGAGTCTCTTTCTCATTCTTCCTCCATTTCTCAAACTTACATATGACTCGTCTCTCTGAGGGATTCTGCCAGCACAACTGTCGGCATCTCTCAAGCTGCTCTTTTTGCCAAACCAGATCTGCAGTAGATCTAATGAGACCTATTCAAATCAGTGCAGGTACAGTCGTAGAACCCATTCGTTGCCTGTTTCACACCCTGAAACAACTTAGCAGCGTGTCTGATTTTCCAACTCTGGGATTTCTGGAAAACATGAGCTGTGGCTTTTGTTTGCAGCAGTTCCTGTTTTGTCTGGATCCATTAGGTCAGATCCGATCAGAGTTGGTTTGCCTCAGTCCAGTCAACCTTCCCGTCTCAGGAAACCTGCTATGAATTCACGACACAAACCTCTGCTTCTGTCTGTGTGGTCACCTGTCTGTCCACCCATCTGTCTGTTAATCTGTCTGTGGTTGAATCCCCTTCTTCTCTCCCCCATCCCTCCTTCTGCCTCTTGGCGAGGTCGCTAGCGATAGCCAGCGCCCCTCCTTTCAGGAACCTGACGAAGTTCTCACCAACTAACGGCCCCATGGCATACATGCCCGGCCCGTCTGCCGTGACCACGTTGTTCGTGAATGGGTCCACCTCGATCGGGTTCCTCCGGCACGAGATTGTCTCGTTGGGGTCGATGCCGAGCGAGCGGCCATTGTCATCCAAAAAGGAAAGGTTTGGGTGAGCGCCGATCAAAACCAGCGCCTTGGAGACCTGGACCACCGTCCGCTGGCCCGAGTCAGACTCCAGAACGCACTTCTGGTCGGGTCGGAATGCCACGACCCTGTAGCGTGGGAAGCTGAGGTAACCCGGGTAGGAGGAGGGGGACGAAGAGGTGGTGGAAGAGGATGGAGGGAGGGAGGAAGGGGTGGAGTGGTCATGGAGGTTCTGAGCGGGGTCGTGTGGTGGAGGGTTCGGCCGGTACTGCTGCTGAGTCATCATCTGGTGAACCTGCAGGTCAAAGGACAAGAAATAGTTGAGATGTAACTTAAGCCTTAAAAGTCATGTTTTTGTTGCACCAAAGCAGGACAATTAGTCGAATGATCCATCAGTTGACTGAATGAATTGATTGGTCAATGAGGAAATCCATTTATCAAGCATGTGTGTTTTTTCTGCAGGTTGTAGACAAGGTTACAGAAAATACACACTTCCATAAATACGGCAAACATTGCAAACGTTCAGTGGCTTTGGGTATCAAACGCTCCTCACCTTGTGGTACTCTGGGTAGAGCAGTTTGGGCAGCTGGTTGAAGATGAGGCCGGGGTCGGTGACCGAGCGTCTGAAGGCGTGGTAGACTGGCGTGTTGAGATGGTGGGCGGCCAGTACTGCGTCGGCCGCTGTAAGCCCCGCCCCCACCACCAGCACTGGGTCTGACGACTGGTCGAGTTCGCCTCGAGAGATGGCTGCCTCCAGCTCCCAGAAAGAGTGGCAGACGAAGGGCAGGGACTCGCCCTCCACACCGAGCCTGGCCGGAATGTCGTGGGTCCCCGTCGCCAACACCACATTGTGGGCCAGCAGGGAGAAAGGCACCTCCTCCGAAACAGAAGACCCATCTAGCAGGCAGAGGAAGAGGAAGGAAACAGGACAGGTTAATATGCGGCCGTCTTACATTTTTAAACAACATGCTAGAACATTAATCATGAGTGTTTTCATTCACTGTACCTCCAAGCTCTTCCCCCTCTCTGCGCTGCTGTCCCGTTACTCTCCAGCAGGGCGGCGACCCCTCATGGCTGCCGGGCTGTCTGGTTACCGAGGTGACGGTGGTTCCACAGGCGAAGCTCTGCTCCAGGGACATCTGGGAAACGTAGTGTTGGTAGTAGGAGGCTATCTCTGCTGGTGTGGCACGGTCGTTTCGTACATTTCTGGAATACAATAAATATGAAAACGCCTTTAAATACAAAATATACACACAGATATGTTTAAATACAACACAGGAGGGTTTCTTATATATCATTTAAGACTAAGAAATTATTTTACAAGATATTTACCAGAAATTGTGACATGGTTTTATTAATTTAACATTTATATACTAAAAGAAAACACTGCTGTAGAACAACTGTTAGTAAAACAATATGTGAAAGAGCTGAACAGGAACAATAAAGTCCAATTCATGAGTAACACACACATCCTTTCTGGGAACTAGTTATTCCACTGGAGTTTAGATAATGTCGTATTGTTTGGAGCTAACCACAGCTCAGCTATCATTACAGTGTGGGTTCTGTGTGGGTATTAAGTCTTAATAACCTACAAATAGATTAGGTGAAACTACACCAATTACACTCAGGTTGTAAGTTATTTTCCTTTCACATCAGACTGTCAGCTAGCCAACAACCTTTAATGCAGTTATCAGAGGGATAAGCTCACTAACAACTTTATTCATGTTATCATAAGCCAACACCTTTTGGCTTCAGGCTGTTGCCAAGCTAGTAACTTTAATGTCCGGGTTGTCAGCTGGTTGGCGAGTTTGATCTCCGTCTGGAGTAGACACCGTAGCTGTCTGTTATCTAGCACATACAGCTAACTCCAATATCTTTTTAGTGTTACAAAACAGTAAATGAGCCGTTCTGGAAAAATGTACGACAACCCTGGTGTGTATTTAAGGCACATAAAGAGCGGTAATGTGAGTCACATGTATTGTTAACTAAGTTTGATGGTTTTATTGTGAACAGACCTGCGTTTTTCTCTCATCCAGTCTTTCAGTTTAAGTCCAGGAAGCTCCATCCAGTTAGCCAGGCTCAGAGTCAGCATGGAGCCCTCCATGGCCTGCCAACAGCACACACACAGTTAAAGTCACTCAGCTGTATTGATCTTTATAGATTCTATAAAAGAGGAAAGTTTCAGAGGGTTCAGTTGTTAGACATTTGAACAAACAGAAGAGTTTCAATTCAGTCTCTTTGTATCACGAGCACATAGCAATGCCACTGTGTGCAAATAAGCAGCTCACAAGGGGAACCAAAGATTGTTTGCACACATTACCATAATGTCTGCCATCTGTCTACATAGTCATGGACAAAGATCCTGTTATGCAATGTGTTTCAGCATGTCAGGAATACTTTCAAGATATTATTTTCAGTTTAAAAAATAAGTTAATGCATGTTTAGTGGATCGTATTATTCCTGTTCCGTGCTGTAATCTGAGGGCATGTGGGTTATTATTGTGAAAACAACTACAGGTGTCAGTAATGAGACATGAAACAAATTATTTCTGAGACGTCATGTGTCCCAAGGGCACCTTAGAAATCAAATCACACAGCAACAACATTAGTGATGATTCTACGAGGCAACATACACAAGTAAAAGAATATAACCATTTCAAAACTGAGACCTCATCTCTGGTATTTTAAGTCTGGAATAGACTAAATAATCAATAATCTATAATCATTCTAGTTACTTACATGCCATGCTCCTCCCGGCGGACCCTTCCCCAGCACCAGGTGAGGGACCGCACGCTCCGGCTCGTATCGCCATTCCAACGGAGACGTGTGGTCCAATCCGAAGTCACTGTCAGGGAGCAGGAGCGAATCAAAGAGCACGGCCACGGGATTGGACGACCGTCCCTCCAACCCCTCGCACAGGTACTCTAGATCCTGAGAGAGAGAGAGAGAGAGAGAGACTGTGAGGAACATTTATGATCCTTCACTGAATAGATAAAGTTTTATTTTCTATTTCTTTGTCACAAAAACAAGCGACTGTCAGTGTGATCGTGTGTTACCTGCTCCAGCAGTGACAGGTGAGGCTGCTCTCCCAGCTTGCTGTGCAGCAGGGGGTTAGGGTGTGATGCGTCAGGTGACAGGTAGGGGGTGTAACCTGACAACAGGTATGACAGACAGATCCCTGACGGGCCGTTACCTGGTAAACAGAAGCGCACACACAGAGGTGAGTCTCAGTCTGTCAGGTTGTCTGAACTGAGCAATGTGTTTGGTTTCCAGTTGCACAGACAATCCACATAATGTTCTGGTAGCTGTGTTATTGTGTGCAGTGTGTCTGTTGGTTGCTATGGTTACACCTGCAGTAATCAGGGAGTTTGGTCTTTCTAATAATAATAATATAAGAAGAAGAACAATATCCTGCATTATTATTCTGCTTTTTTTAAGCTTTGCAGACAGAAAATATGCTGTGTAATTGGAAAAATAACTGCACAGTCACTGAATGACTACGACATAAAACTTATTGGTACCGCAGCATGACTCAGCAAGTTTGAATGCTAAATATTAACTTGTACAACAAGGCAATGACTCAGCTCACACACACAGAAGCCAAATGCAAAGTAGTAAAAACTCTTTCGCCTGCTCACGATGACTAAAGGATATCACACATTCACTTTTCAGCAAACCAACTAAACATTTTAGCACATAATTTAACACAATTCATCCTAACCTCATATGCACAGACAAAAACATAAAACACTGAGGATTTGGAACCAGAAACTTTAACTTTTTAAAGAAGAATATTTCGCTTTTTATTACAGTTTCATACAGTTATTTGCCTGTAAATGTATTTTGACTTTTCATTGTAAACACACCTGTAATAAAGCACATTCTTAAGATCTAACAACCATTTTGAACTTTCTACCACATATATTTCACACCACTTCCTGCTGTGGCCATTGTCAACACTTCCTAAGGCTATATAGCAATTATTCTGTCTGCAATTATTAGCAATCATTATGTTAATCACAGCACTTTCTTCCATGCACTGCAGTGTTTTGGCAGATCACTATGACATTTGGCGCAGAATAAATACATATTAAACATTATATTTCTTTTACTTTCAGCTCTTTTTCTTGCGTCCAGTTGCACCAGAGATGGTTGATCCATCACAGTGAACAGAAAGTCTGCTCTGAGCAAATCTAGCTGCTTCTCCTTTGGAGCTTCCCACTGCATCATCAAAATGACAAAGTGCAATTATGCATGTGTGCATGTGACACCATAGTGTGTGTGTGTGTGTCTTACCGATGATCACCACAGGCAAAATCTCTCCAGGGAGAATTTCTTTATCATGAAGATCCATTTTGACTGAGGAGAGAAAAACATTATTATTGTTATTATTATTATTATTATTATTAACATTATTCCTGCAATATAATTATAATCTATGTTATCACACTATTATCTAAGACTGAGAAAGTAGAGTAACAGTGAATTAGTGAATCATTGCCAAGTCCAGTCAGCAGTCAGTCAGTCAGTACATTTCCACTGACCTCTGACACACACACACACACCACACACACACACAACACACACACACACACACACACACACACACACACACAAACACACACAACACACACACACACACCACACACACACACACCACCCACAAACCTTCCCACCCCAGTCTGACTTCAAAGCTGAACCTAGCAGCATGATCTGATAAACAAAGACAACCAGATATGTCGGTTAAACATACACTTAAAACCACCTACAAAGTGAGAGTGTGTGCGTGCGTGCGTGTGTGTGTGACCTCAGGGTGAGGTGAGGCATCTACTTGAGGCAGAGATGAGAAAAGGAGATAAAACTAATCTACAGATATCGAAAATATGTGTGTTTGAAAAAATTATTCTGAAAACTTACTACTTTGTAATTCTTATCTGTAATCCACAATGACAATACGTCATACAACACTAAACACCATTAACTCCAATTCATACATCTGACGCTGTAAACATGATTTATTGTGAGCATTATGTGAGTTTCTGTCTCCACCCTTAAAGCACACGAGGAGGATGTCAGAAGGTTTCTTTTGTTCTGCTGGAAACATTTTCGTCGTGTGCAAAGAAATACACAATAACGTTGTTTTTGCACACTTTAAATTAAGACCAATAACTTTGGATGCATCACATGACTTATGCTAGGCCGGGTCGGCCGCACAGATCGTTTGTTCAGCTAATCACAGGATGCTAACGGCCCGAGGCCATGCTGGCAGCAGTCAGCTCATATTTCAACACAACATGCATGTGCACCAACAAGGACCAGCTCCTCTCGTTAAGTTACAGTTAATTTAAAAGGCAGCTGGATGGAACCTCTGGCTGTGTTTGCAGCAGAGACAGAGAGAAACGGATTTATGTCGATACCTAGGGTTGGATCTTCTTTATCCTTTTCTGCAAAAATTTGGTCTCAGAGAGTCTTTCATTCACAGGATGAAAGCACCATGGCAACTGTCACAAAGATTCACATTTCACAGGGGCACCAGACAGGGATGCTCACTCTTTTTTTTTCTTTCTTTTTTTTTATATTTATGGAACTTCTTCCCTGCACCAGACAACAACTTAGGCTGTTGTTTGATATTTTTGATAAATACCTGAGTTTTAGAATTGATATTACCTTTTTAATCCCTTTTTTGAGAAATATGAACATATTTTTCTACACAATTGCTTTATTTTTTATGTAATAAAGAAGCCAAAGTTCTCAAATGTTAATAGTCACAAGACCTTTACCTTTATACTAGTGTCCAAAATGAGGAACTAAAACTAAACGAGATCACAGACAGTTATTGATATTCTAATATTCTTCAGACATGCATCACGCAGCCCCAGTGATCAGACGAACAGCAATAATCAAGAGATGAAATCTACAAAATAAAATGTTCTTGTGCAACGTTGGTGCAAGTGGACACTTTTGCTTTCCCCTTGAAGCTCATTGTTCACATTTTTCCTGCAGAGAAACAAACTCTGTCTGTCTCCACTCCCACATATTAAAACCCAGCTGAATGCACCGAGTTGTCGGAGGGCTTAGACAGACAGAGAGGAGTGAAACTGAATATACAGTAGCTCATGTCGACTGTGATCTCACTCTTATGTACACTTGCAGAGGGAGAGGCGGGGCAGCAGTGCGCGGCGGCGGCTGCTTTTAACAAACTGCAGAGTCATGCTTACACAGACAGTAAGTCAGTAAGTAAGTACAACATAAGGTCAAGAGTGAAACACCAGAGCAAAAAGGAGAAGGAGGAGTAAAGGAGCAAGAAAGAGGAAAGAATGAACCAGAATAAGTGAAAAAAAAGAGAGAGAAGGTGGAGGAGAGATAAAGAGGGTTACATAAGGGCAGCGCGGAGGTTGGCACCGAGCCCAGACCAGAGTGTGTTCCAGGGGCTTACTAGAGAACACGCACACACACACACACACACACACACTGTACATGACTATGTGCAGCCCTACTGGCCCGGTTTACTTGTGGAATTGACTTGACCGGATGAAAGATTTTCCTTCGCTTTTTTGGCAGATAACACAGAGTATGTTGGCCAAGGAAAATGTGATTAACCCCTGATTTACAGTACAAGCCACAGTCAGTGGAGCCCATTGTTCTGTGTTTATTCATAAAAAAGGGGATCATTTAGCTGTCGAATAAAAAAAACAGGACGAAAAATAATAAAACGTGGAGGAAATCAGATCTGCATGAACAGTCTGACATTCCTCTGTTTGTGTTTGTCTTTCTTTTTCCTCCTCATTTACTATTACTGGAAACGTATTGTAAGCCGAGGCCCGTATTTACTGTAAACCGTGAGTTGTTCTCATGCAGGAAAAACTTTAATCTGCTGAGAGTTTTTTTTGTGAAACTCTATAACACAATGAACGAGCCACACTTCATATCAGCCGCGCAGACTGTTAGTTGACCTTCGGCTCACCTGTCTCTCAGGGTTTTCCCTCCAGAGAACTGGAGGCAGACAGAGAATCCATAACTTCCAGCTGGGAAATTGTGGCTGCATGTTGGCCGAAGGAGCCGTTCACTCAAACCACCAGCGACGTCTTCCACCTCCCCCACAAAATGTCTCATGCTGAGATTTTCAAAATGTCATTTTTTTATGCTCTGAGCACTAAAAAGAACAACTTCACTGCCTCGGACAAAAAGGAAATACAACTTTATCTGCATTAGGGCTGTGAATTGGCTGGAGACTGGCTCTTATATCGCATCAGTATCGGCGTTTATGTTATGTTCTTCCGGTCTATAAGGCAAAAATACTTGTAGTTTTTACAGTACTGCTGTTTAGCTATTTATTTTATTTATATTTATTCCTGTATTTTCTCAGTTTTCACTTCTAGAATTGGCTGATATTGTATGTATATGTTAAACTATTTAACACGTTAAAGAATATTTAAGTTAAAGAAAGCAGCCGTCTGAGTGCTGTTGCAGAGTCGTGTCAGAGCAAAACTGTTCATTCCAGCTCAAACATTCACGATATTAGCCGCCATATCGGTATTCTGTGGATTTTTCCCCTCTAA